TGTGCTTATGGGGTCAGTAGGTGAATGCCAATTCGCCCGCTTGCATCCATGTTTCCCTCACCTGTGTGTTTTCCTTGTATCTTAGTCCCACCCACGTAAGATGCAAGGAAAAGATTCGAGGAGAAACTGTGAGGAAGAAACAAGGAAACATATTTATCTAACCTCAGATCCTTCATGTGAGGCGTCCGATCACAAACTGATTTCCGATAAAGGGCCATGTCAGTCGTGTATCCTCGGTTATAGCTCCTTCAGGCAGAAACAAAAGCTTTAGGACGACCTTCATCATGGCGGACTGTAACGACTTCCAGATCAAGTGAGGAACGAAACAATAAAGGAATTGGGATTCACTTGGTTTGTTTTGAGTCTCATTAGACCCTGGGCTGAAAAGCCCTTAGAGTAGCTTTAAGGCCTTACTACGATAAAATGGGCTTGGGGCTGTGAGTTAGACACAGGCTGGGGAAGTTATAAAGTACTGAGAGATGGTTAGGTTTTTGTCTTTGCACAGCACCAGCCTTATCCTTTCACATCATCGTGTAAATGTTATTTGCCTTTGGCTCCTGTAACCACAGTAGCTCTGAGAGAATTAAACAAAGTGCTTCAATATTGAGACTGACATGACACTGAAAAGTAGTCTAACACTGTCAATACACAACATGGCAATTATGTGCAGCAGCTGAGTCTCCACATCTAAGAGAGCATCCATTCACTGAAGGTACATTATCCAGATGCAGAAGCAACACGTCTTCACTCTGCTGCCTATCGACCATCGGCTTCTGTCCCTGCATTGTGTGGCAGAGGAAAGGTCACTACATGCGGTTTTGCCAAAATCATTACAAAGTGGTTGGTACAGTACAAAAGGCCACTCTATGCATGTCTGCCAGAGTGAAGACGGCCCGTCTCCAGCATTGTGCTCCCTCAGTCTGAGCTGAATCTGAACCCATGACTTATTCAATAAAACCGATTTGTTGACTTGTCTGTGCATGTTGTGGTTCTGTGTTTTGCCATTGTTGCTGAATCATACATTGTTTGCCAGTCCTGTCTGAAGCCGACATCTCCACACTGGCCTCCATCACTCCCCTTTCTCTCTTCCTCTGGCCTGTCTCTTCTTTGTCTCATCTCTTCACCCGTTCATCCGCCTCCTCACTGTCTTTTCATTCTTCTCCACCCACTACCTTTCTTATTTTTGCTCTCTCTTCACCCCCCCACCCACAATCTGTCCCCTGTATCTACTCACTTTTCCCTCCCTAACAATATCCTCTCCTCTCTGTCTCTCTCCTCTGTCTTCTCCTCCACCCACCTTCTTCTTCCAAGAGGCAACCTTTATTTTTTGGCCTGTAGCTTGTATCTGTCATGTCCGTGCATTTGCCATTAGCTGATCCTCTGGAGACAGTAGTCGTTCTCTGTGTCTAAAGAGCTGTTGTGGCCAGACGAAGGGTAGAGGTCACGGCGGAGCAGCCTGTTGACAACAGTGACCAGAACTTTCTTGTACTGCTGACGTAGGAGGGAGTAAGCAAAGGGGTCAGACGCAGCCTTGCTGTATGTCAGGCACTTACTGATGATTCCCCAGTGGCGGTTGACGTCCACAAAAGGTAGAAGTTCAGCCAACCTGGAGGGGCGGCAGCAGGGACATAATTAAACTAAGTACATTTTAGTCAACGGTGTTATTCAGAGATTTCTTTGAACATTATATTGTCAGATGATTAGGGACTGATTAGGGTTAGATATGTTTGTTGAAAGGATGGTAGTCAGATTTTTGAAAGAGATTACAAACAAATCTCTAAGGTTTTTAACCACAGATTTATATTTTTATTTCAGCCTTCCCTTGAGCGGCACAAAGCTCTTGGTTTAAAGATGGAGTGGCTGGAATATTTGGTAAATGTTCACCATCATTTCTAACGTGCAGTTTGGTGGATATCATGACAATTGTTGTTGCACTAACATTAAGTTTTAAATGGTGCACATTTTTAAAATTTGTTACGCATCTTTTCAACCTCAAAACAAATTGTCTGGAGGATATAAAATGCTTAATAAAAACAAATAAAGTGAAATACAATGCACATTTCTGTATGTAAAAACATGCTAACAGTGCATTTATTTAGCATTTACATTTCATGTATTGTATTTTACTTTAATTCTTGGTTTGATTTGTTTTTATGTAGGAATGTCTAATCTTCCATACAGCACATTAGAAGGTTGTTGTTTCTGTGTCAAAGGGATGAAATGAGAATTTGAATAAGTCCCTAATGTTCTGCTAACAAATGCTTTTATTTAAATATTGTGTTAAACATTAATTTAAGAGCATAATTACATGTTTTGGTTTCATCAGTCACCCAGGCTACATCCGGCCCCTGGTCAGGAGGTTGCTCAAATTACTCTGACAGTTTTCCCAGTTAATGTCTTTTCATTTCCACTGCCATATGTGCACACTCCACAGATGTCATATTGATGGTTCATCAGCATCACATCTGGCTGAAAACTGGCTTGTGGGCCATTTCCTCTGTTCTTTGGGAGCTGGTGTACTGTATACATTGTCCTGCACTGTTTAATTTGTATTTCAGTAGAAGCAGCATGAAAAGCCACCTACAGATAGATACCTAATGAGCTGTCTCATGGTACAGGGAAATTACAGTAATTCAAAGTATCAGGCAAAAATAAGCAGCGCGCCGTTAGGTAATACAGTAATAATACTGTGCTGTTGGGACATAATGCACCGTGATTGTGTGTTGAAATGTCTCTAATCTGATCTAATGTGGCATTACTTTTGCAGGTCTCTAGTTTGCAGTGGCTCCAGGTTGTTTACCTGTTACATTCCCACTAATAGCCCAAGCTGTATTATAAAACGGGTCAGACTTGTACAGATGTGTTGAGTAAATAACTGATTTATTGGTTATTATCAATTGGACTTACCTTGTAATGACATAAGGAGCAAAGCAGATGATGAATGAGCCAATGAATATGCTGATCTTCTTTGTGGCTCTTTGCTTTCTCCTCTTTTGTTCAGATAAACATTTCTGTTTCACGCTGAAAACACCAAGCACGTTTAGGTTTTGTTTTTTTTTGCACAATAGTGACAATTGACTACAGTATGAATGTGCAGTATGCTGTGAAAAAATATGAGTGTGGAATGTTTTAATTACCTCGGGTGGATGTCGACCAGCAGGAAAAGAGTTTGCATGGTGATAATGTCAATTCTTTTACAGTGAAACCTGGCGACTTTCAACACCTTCAAGTAGGTGAAACACAAGATGAGCAGGGAGAGCATGAAACTAGTGGCGTGGAAAACCACAGTGAAAATTGTAAACTTAATCCTGTCACTGTCTTCCTTGCTCGGCTGCAAGGTGCAGGACGCGTAAACGTTGCTGTAGTCGACCCAGGAGAAGAGCAGCGCCGTCAGGGAGAAGGTGAAGGAGTGGAGCCAGGAGTAGCACACCATGATCAGTGCGTCCTTGTAGCGCATTTTGGTGGAGTAACTGAGCGGGAAAACCACCGCTATCCACCGGTCTATGCTGAGAGCTGCCATGCTCAACATGGTGTTTGCAGTAAGAAAAGTCTCCAGGAAGCTCACGGTGTGGCAAACGCAATCCCCAAAAGGCTGCTGGTTCCTGATAATCCCCACCAAAGTGGCCGGCATGTTTAAAACAGTGATGAGTATGTTGCAGAAGGACAGGTTCATGGTGAAAACACCGGGCACCTGTCGGCGGATCTCGGTGCTGTGCACGAAACATAGCAGCACCAACAAGTTTGACAACAGCGAGACGACCGCGACCACGACGATGAACAAAGCGAAAATAATTTCAGCAAAGTCCATGTCTCACTCCAACAAGTCCGCGGGAAGGTTACCTGCGCCGGTTGTTGATAATAAGCATTTCAAATGAACCATGGTCATCCGTCTCTCATCTGTCCAGCCGTGTCCCCAAATTCGTTTCAATTAAATCCTCGTGTGCCCGCGCGTCGCCGTGCTCTCCAACTTCCTCGGGCGCTGGCTGAACCGAGCATCCGCCGCCACCATCTCTCCTCAGATGTGCCTGTTATTGCCCGTTAACATCCGATAAAGTGGAGCAGGGCGTGTGTTGAGAGTGTCTTTCATGTGAGCTGCGTGCAGGCGGCCCACGCACCAGGCAGATAAAGATCTGGTTGGGGACCGAGCAGCACCACGATCCTATTGAAATGACACGAAGAAACAGACGTCGGAGCAACTTGTCCTGGACGCAAAACATCCAAAGTCACACCTCATTTGCTACATACTGGGTGTTTTTAGGAGATCTCCCATCTGTTGATGCGCAAACCTGCGCACAAACACAATAATCAATCACCCCGCATAAGATCTTCACGTTTGACTTTCTTGTGTCCCATCTGTTGATGCGCAAACCTGCGCAAAAACACAATAATCAATCACCCCGTTTGACTTTCTTGTGCCGTTCCCATTGATCACGTCTTGGTCAAATCAATGGATCTGGAGGCAAAGGGCGCGGAGAAATCCAGGGATGTGCTCCTGGATAAGTGGAGACGCTTCTGCCATTACTAAACGGCACCAGGTGCACACACGCGCCCAGAGACACGGGGGCAAAAAGATCCTTTTCCTGAAATAATTTATTTATAGCTCCGTGGCTGCTGTAGTCAGTGTGTAGCATCATTTGTTCCTGGACTGCACAAGTACACAGGATTTACAAGAGAGAGCCCCTGTTAGTATGCGACCTGGTGAATCAATCGAAATTACAGCAAAATTAATAATTAGTAACTATTAATGACTTCTACTTGATCAATACAGTACCAGTAAAGGACTTACTGACCATCAATAAACCAATAGCTACATATTTTAAACTCTTCAGAAACGGGGTGAACAGCAGCCAAAGGGATGTGAATATGTTTATAACTGATGAACAATGCACGAGAACATGATTTATTAACAATCATAAAGTCATTAGTGACAACTGAGACCACTTTATAAACTGAGACTTGTTAGAAAGTGGCAGTAAAAGATGTATTTAGTGTTTGGTTTTGTAAAACCTGGCAACCCACTGCTCTATAAATGATACCTCTTCAAAGGTTGAATCTTACAGCTCTTTTGTATTATATGTAATTATATCCATTAACCTCCCTGAGTCATCACTGTGCTATAAAGAAAACATTTATTCTATCAAATTAAAGTAGCTCTAGGAAATTACAACCATCACTGCCTGTGTTCATTCACGGCACAATGAGCATTAAAACGGTACCCAGTCCAAGTCAGAGTAGCACACCGCAGCCTGCAACAGACACACACCGCAGTGGTAGTGCTCGTTCCTGACTCATGCCTGGTTCTGGAGAAGTTTGTGTAGACTGTGACTCACTGGGGTCAGACACAGCCTGCAGGGGGTTTGTAGATCTTTTTTTTTCTGTTTTCATTCGCTTCACACTCCCACTTGTTGTGAGGCCAGTGCCTGAATCCCCATCCCCTCCAATTAAGTGCACTGTTTTATCTGTTTAGGAGCGATGCAGTACCAGAGAACTCACTTTGCTCGGGGCCTGCTACCTTGCTCGTAGCCATCATAGTTGAGTATTTAAAGTGTGAGCCATAGTTCAGGGAAACCCTGAGGCGAGCTGTCTGGGAAGTGACGGCCTCTTATGAGCATCACCATCAGAGCAGCTGATGAAAGTCTTCTCACTTATCTGTACTGCAGCTTTAATGAGGGCACTACAGCACTGAGGATGTGTACATGCCAGTGTGTTTCTAGGTGTGTGTTTTGTTGTGCATGTGTTTGTGCAAAGGCGTCAGAAAGTCAGGGAGACAACACCACAGTAGGTGATGTCAGTCCCTTACAAACAAGTGATCAAATGCCTGGGAGAGAGCTACAGCTGGGCTCCTGGGGGAAAAGTGCATAGCTATTTATAGGCCTGACAGGGTGTCACCTCCAGTATAGCCCTCAGCATCGTGTATTACCTAACCGACGTGTCAGAGTGAACCACTGAACACAGCTTCAGACACACAAATGAGATGAGTAGACAGCCACAGCAGTTTTAGGAATCGTCCAAAAAGGACCTGTAGCAGTTTGGCATTCAAACACAAGACGATCCACTGATTACAAAACACCGCTCACAGATACTCTACTGCATGTTTTTGTCTCACTACAAACAACAACATACAACTGACAAGAGAAGAAAAGGGCAAAGATCTCCAGTTCTGACTTTGGGCAAAATACACCAAACTGTAATTGACTATAAGTCCGAGTGAAGCAGCTACAAAGAAAGGAAGTAAGCAGGAGAATCATTCAGAAAGAAGACGAGCTCGACACAGGCACAGATAGGTGCATATACCTCTGATACAACCGTGGGATGCAGTTAATGTGTTAAAATGCAGATCCTCACATTTCAGAAACCAGAACCAGCATGTCTGTCTTTTGTGCTTGATGAAAAACTTAAATAAACCCTAATACAAGTCAAGTCAAGGTAAGTCCATTTTTGTTTGTATAGCCCAGTATCACAAGTCACAAATTTGCCTCAAGGACATTTAGAATCTGCACAGCATGCAACACATTCTGCCCTGAAACCCGCAAATCAAAGGAGGAAGAACGCCCTTAAAAATTCCTATAATGGGAAAAAATGAAATAAACCTCAGGAAAAGCAACAGAGGAGGGATCCCTCCTCCAGGACAGAGAGACATGCAATAGATGCAGATAACAGATTAATCCGATAATGAGATGAATTAATAATGAAAATGATCATTAGTTGCAGCCCTGTCTATCTAATTAGAGGTTGCAAAACAAGCTTATATCAGATTGTTGTGTTTGCTACATGTGTGCTATTGTCAAACCTAAATTAAACCAGCAGTGTTCGGTGCACAGAACATCACAGTGAATGTTTTGCTTTTGCAGGGAGAGTGAGACACTGGGAGCAAAGCGGATCTTTGTGGGCACCTCACAACCTCAGCCTAATAACAAAGAGTGCTTGGAAGGCTTTCAACCTTCAGTTCTAACCCACGCTCTTATGTAACAGTGTCTGACCTTCATACAATCCAACATCCTCATCACCTTTGGGCAGAAGAGAAGTGCTTCAGATGTTAGAAGATAGTGTGATCTCAGTGAAATCCCCCCACGGCACTCCAGGTCTACCTGGAATGGCACTCAGAGCTAACTCATGCACGGCACCTTTTTAAAATTCAGTGCCTTTGCAGCTCTCTTTGCAGCCTGAAGCCATGCAGGAAGGAGTCAGGGGAGGATCTCAGGTCATGCATTAGGTAACTCTGCAACTTGTCTCAGAGTTATAGCACAAGATACAGTAGCGGATAACATGATGCCTTTGGACAGCGTTGTGGAATAAAAAGATCCTTAGGACTCTTTATCATGTACCATTCAATCACTAAAAGATTCATAAGTTGAACTAGATGCTTCAGATATTTTATCCTGGAACAGCAGAAACCCTCCTTCAGGCTGCAGGTGGACGACTCACAACACCAGTATTTCTGGCACCAAACTCTCATAAATCTGACAGCAGCCCCTAAAACAAACATTTCCTGCTTTCTGCCCAAACTACTGTACACTTTATTCTGTTTTGTATTTACTGCCGATGTATTTTAGCGTCACCAGTGCTGCCTGTTGTGAAATAGCCAGCCAGGAAATGAATGACAGCTCAGGGTTTTATTTACAGGGGTAACAATGCCGTGGCAGATGGGCCTCCTTCACACTCCTCAGTGTACGACAACATAACCCAACATCTGCCATATGTTTTTATTTCCTACGGTACAACCTGTGATGACAGCTCATTTGTAGTGTTACATGTTGCACATTCAAAAGAGAAATATAAAAATGAAGCCTGTTGATCTCATCTCGTATTGATGAAGATGAATTATCCTGTTGTCTTGACAACATCCTCTTATTATTCCTCTGTGCCACAGTTTTTATTCACCTGACTCAAATATGTTACATATACCCTTCAAGCATTGATATATGTCTATAGAATGTGAAAATATTGACATATTTAATAGAAAATCTCTGATAAACATTACTTGTTAAATATAATTCTCATTGGCAGCGCCAGTTTTAATATTACCAAATTGATTCATATGTCAAATCTTTAATAGTTCTTTATGGGTGGGTGACTTTTCTTATTTCTAAATGTTAGTTTTAAGTTTTAAAAATAATCCCATAGAGGTCTGTTGTATTTACTGTATATCAGCATGTGTAAACAGTCAAACCTCTAGTTTCAAAAATGGTTTGGACACTGATCAACTGTAAAGGATTATAATTGTTATAATACAATAGTTAATTTGTCATTATAATGACAAATTATGAGATACTCTAAGTTATACAGTATAAAGTCTACAGAGGAACATTCAGTCCCATTGTATTTGTAGCTGTGCGAAATAAACCTCAGGAAAAGCAACAAAGATCCTTAACAGAACACAAGGGTTAAAATGCTCAGTGGGCACTGATCAGCTGTGCATACGCATACGACGACGACATAATTCTGTAATGAATCTAATTTACCTCAGCTAATACATTATAGTTAGTAGGTTCTCATATCATTTTACAATCATGCAAATTAGGATAGAAACACACAGCATTCACATGCATTTTCTTTGGGAATTGTTTCTATTATTGATGTGTGATGTGTCATTTACTTCCTTTCCGATCTGACATCAAATAAAATCCAAGTCGATACCAGATTGTGGTACTTCCAACCAAAAGAGAGATGGGTGCAGACAACAGAGACTGACGGAGATGAGGAGATATAAGGTGTATCTAAGGTGTAATGTGACAGAGCGACCGATTTTGATTTGGTCATGGTTTCTCTCTGTTCAGGTTCAAAGTCGTGTCCTCAAGTTAACAAAATGTGGAAATAACTGCAGCCCACCTCTTGTGGAAAAACAAGTCTTTTTAGCACCTCTTCATTGTGTTTTTCCAGACATCTGATGTGATATGTAATTGAAAATGGAGGCCCTGCACTGCTGGTAGGCAAACAAAAGAAAAATGAAACAGCTTTCACGAGTACGGTGCAGCTGCCACAGGTAAAGCGAGAAGACTTGTTGAGTCATGTTCCCATAGCAACACCTCAGTCTGAGAAGTTATCGCACCATCTCTGGCAGCACATGCTCTCCATGTGGATGTAAATGTCATTTACAATAGGGGATGTTATTGTCATCCAAGGAGCTTACGAAGCCTCTATTATCAGCTGCCTTTCTCCAATTACACATTCAAAGAAGTACATGAGAATTGTGCGGTATCTATGTACCAGGACGAATATTTCACGCTGCATTGAGGAGTGTAAATGCTGGTCATGCACTGAAATTTCTCATGGTCCTTTCTCCAAACCAAATAATCTCTCAAACCTCCAAACGGGCCCTGTTTCAATATACCTCAGCCAACAGAGCGACTTGGTCAGCCACAGGTGTCCAGAGTTCTGTCAAACCTTCGGCTTTGTTCACAATGAGCCCTCTTTTATCTGGAGACCTAAAGCAGGGGGTGAGGAAGAAGCATAAATAGAGTGCTTTGACCCAAAGAAGACAGGCCACATAAAGCTACATTTGAAAGGACTGCTTTAGTGTTTTATTAATGACCCCACAGGACATGCCCTGCCTTTGAATTGATTTGTTCATCAGTCCCTTCATACAGTCAAAGACTTGCTCTATGAAGCTTTGGAATATATCACACAGGCTTCCTGGATGCCTTTGCCAAATACGGAGAGAAGAATAGTGCAAGAGCAACTGACCGCAGTATTTGAATTGGATTGAAGAAGCATTCCTCTGATTTGGACCACACGGTCACAAACACATTGTTCCCGCAGAAGGTTCACAACCACAGGCTCAGAGCATCCAGGAAAACTGAGAGAGCAGCGCAAGAGCAGACTGTAACCTGAGTCTGAGTGGAACAGACCGACAGCTAGCCACCGAGCAGACACACTGCATTCATTATCATTAGACGACAGGAGCACTTTGAAGCCAGCTCCGGTGGGCAGCAGATCAGGCCAGCAGGCACGTGATGGAGCACTGTCGCTTCTGCAGCAAACTATGAACCCTCATAAAAGGCGCAGGCATACTTAACAAGCCTTTTACTGGGAGGCTGTAATGGACAGCACAGTCTTTCAGAACTGATGTTGTGCAGACATCACAACTGCTTTCTGTGTCTTGTAACATTAAATATTTAAGGCTTCACTTGAGGTTCAAGTATATTATAGAAAATTATTGTCCATCTTCTCTTTCAACTACCAAATAATGTTCATACAAGATGTTTCCTGATTATCCACGAAGCTTCATCATCAGGTCTGAGGGAGAGAAGAGAGCAGCTGCAGAAGCAGAAGGCTTCTCTGGTGTTTATACATTTTCTCCACTGCCAGTGAATATATTATGAGTTCTATTATTTCATCAGCTAGATTCCTCCTGTGCCCCGACCCTCTGCCACTCTAAACACACACTGACTCACTCCTCTCTAGCGCTGCCTATCTTCTTCTCTCTCACTGCACACACACATATAAACACAGACCGAAATCCCCAGTGGTAGGTTTGTCCTGCAGATGCAGCTCACAGTATCTTACTCATCCTCATCTAACCTTTACCGCGACACATCAGCCGTAAGGACAAGACTCCCCCCACAACAGGCTGCAGCCAAAGACATCTGCTTCAACCATATCTCAAGTTTTCAGATTCACAGTGGTGGAAGAAGAACTCGTTTTAATGAGCTTATATGCATTTAATTTGAAGTGCTTTACATACTGTACTTCTAGGTAGCTTGTGAATTTTCCACCAGACCAATAAAGTCTTGAGTATACTGTAAATTTTGTATTGATGTGGTTCTGAAAAGTACTACAGTTATAAAATAAATGGAGTAAAAAGTACAAATGCCTCAAAATGATACTTAAGTACAATACTTGAGTACAAACTTTCCATCACTGCAGATTAAGATACTGTCAAAGGTGTTGACTGAAACGCAGTGAGTGACTCATGCTAAATAAGTTGCATGAGTCACAAAAGGTCAAACAGAGAAGGAGTTGTTACGCACCCTGCTCGGAGTCAGGACAGCCTCCTAACACTCTGCCGTGTCACTGTTTTGTTTTTTAAATGAGGATTTAAAAGCTACATCTGCATCTATGACATTTTATCTCACATTATTTGTTGACATTTGGCTGCTGGAACATTTCTGCAGGTTATTCACTCCAGCTAGCGGATGCACCAGCAGCACAGATGTTAGCTGTAGCTTGCTAGCAGCATCACTACTGTGTGCATTGTTCCTGACTGAGTCCAGGAACATGAATTTCCCCCAACTCTCTGTGCTTCCTTCACCTTGGTACACATGCTTGAGGCGCACAGGCTTGGGGTGAGCGCTTCAAATTGAAACCTGTTCAACTTGCACTGGCAATTCACGTGTCCCTGGGTGCACTTCCACTGCCAAATTGGCTTTGAACACACCTTTACAGAACAGCGACGCCAGTTTTAGATTCCTCAGAAAGAGCAGGAGAAATCAATAAAGAAACAGGTAGGAAATCTGCACTGAAGGTTTTTTAGGTGCTAAACTAGATTATTTATAAAAAATAGGCCACAAATGCTTGAACAGATTGTGACATTGAGTTGATTTATTCTGATTTAAATAATAGTTTTGCTACTTTTGGACTATTTTATTTAGGACAAACAGCGATAGTGTCAAATTTCACCTAACCCTAGAGATCAATTTGTTATTCCTGCTATGAAATGAAGCAGCTTGAGGCTGAACAAAAAGAAATCACCATCTGTTGCAGAATGGCATTAATACTCGTTATCAGTAAAGAAAACCATCTGTCAGTGCTTCAAACAAAGAGATGACAAGCTGAGATCCACTGCTCAAACCTTTCCATGGGAGGATCGTTATTAGTTCAGAAACATTTCACACAAGTCAGTATGATTTAAGGGATTTAGCAGCTGAGAGCAGCCAATTAATCAATGTGTTGGCAAAGCACCAGCTTCACATGATGACAAGACTGATGCTGCCACGCCGGCAGATGTCGGGACATGTTTTTTTTAGCAGGTCCATGCAGTATTAACAGGTATTATGTAACCCTAATCAGAGAAGTGAGGCTTTGAGAAGTCACCACACCAGCAAGCAATTTCTCTTTAATCTTTAATTAAGCATAAGGTGCAGCGTTGATTCATCCTTTTCCCTGCGAGTGCTATTTTCAGCTGGCGTCGCCCACTCTCAGCCTCTCTGGGGAGGCAGAGGGAGCCTTTAAAAGCAGAGAAACATTGCTGTCAAAGTGTGATTAGACTGAAAGCTCTTTCAAAGCAGATGCTTGTTGTGATTCTAGACATGCAGGCTGGTGGAAATAATAAAGTTGTGTGCCGCATGTGGCTTTTTGTGCTTGATATCATGTTAAAGATTCAGAGAATCTCATTGGAGATGGAGCAGGTGGATATTCTGTCAAACCAATAGGGATAAACCAAAACAGGAAGCCACGCATTATCTGTGTATTTGAGTTCATGACATTTTCTCACAGTAACGTGTCTATTCAGGTTTTCCTTATTGGTTCCCAATGTGCTTATCTCCATGCTAATGTACACTGTACTTGTTGAGGCTATGCTTGACAAAAGGTAAATACTGATGCTTGCCTATTTTTCACACACAATTTAAACAGTCCATTGTGTGACGATGCAGTTTGAGACCACGATTTGACACCTGACTTCTGGGTAGTGCTTTCTGCTGCTAATAACAGACAGAATAAGCATAACTATCAAAGCACACTGGTCCAATACGCTCAAGCTGCTTTTGTGCCATCTGGGTCACTCCGTCCCGTTGCCCATGGTAACGACACCCACTCCCCAGTCTGCCTCTATGGAAACCCCCATTTTCACTCCACATCAGAGCTGCTCTTATGTTGGTCTGATGCATTTTCTTTTGTCTCTTCACCAAGTTTGTGAAAGGGACTGGATGCTCGCAGACACTGAGCGTCCATGACATATCACACTGAAATAAAAGGAGAAGAATTTTACATAACATTGCAACCAGGTTTCCTAGAAACAGAAACCAAATTGCATTTACTTCTGTTGTTTACATCTCTTGTTTGGTAACAGTTTTAATCCAAACTAAAGGATCTTAAAATCACTGCCATGCTTGGAAATGTAACAGAGCTTATATTTGTCCTATAGCACTCTAGTTTCTTTGTTTTTTCTTTTTTCTCTTACCTGTATTCAGAATCGCTACCCTTACAGGTTTTTGTGATTTGTTTGTTTAGGGAAAATGTTATACAGTAGAGCTGAACTGTGCGTTATTCATTTTTCTGGTGTATCTGGAGAATAATAATAAAAAAAAAAGGTCAGCGATTGTTTTGATTGAATTTTTACATTTAGAGTTGCCAAACTCAACAACAACCATCACACTTAGTCTGAAAATTTGTTTGTTTGGTTTAGAAAATGCTGGAAATAATTACATGCTATGGAACAAAAACCATATAAACAGGGTGTCATTTGAAAACCGCATGAAAAAAGTACATCTATAATTTGATGCGATTGGCGGCGGGGAGGACGACGAAGGGACGAAGGGATTCATACTCACATTTTAAACAAAACACAGAATTAGATTAACATCTCATCAAATATTAGCTCAGTGGACTAGCTCTCAGAATCTCAACAAATAAACATTTATTTAGATGCTATAGATCTCATTTTACATCACCAGGACTCTCTCAGTTAATATTTAACACATGAGATAAATGAATTATTATGCAGGTTTATACTTGCAGGACAGCATAAACTGAGTTCTAATTTTAACTCCATGTGAATCTGAGTGAATTGGGTACATGCCATGGCTCAGCCCATGTGTATTTCCAGCTCTGTGTTGAGAAGAAGCACCATCCACGCTTGGCAGCTCTCCACTGGTGATGGCACGATGCTAAGCTTTTTGAATTTCAAGTGAAGTACATGCTGAATGGTGAAATGTCAAATAGAAACGTTTCCAAACAAGCCTCCTCCTCTTGTCTCTCTGCTGGGGCGGACAGTCTATGAAGTGCAAACTGCAGGAGCACCAGGTATGACAGCTGCAGAGCCTACCAGCCTGATTCCTGAGCATCACTCAGGTGAGGAGGGTCGGAGGAGGGGAAGTGGGTGGAGGGGGATCTCCTGCAGCAAGAGTAGGACACCGAGAGCAGTAAAGTACACACAAAAGATTCATCTGCTGTGACCACCTGCTTGTCACTGCTGAGATATTGATCAAGGGCCTGGATCATCATCAATTTATCAAAGCTCAAGCGAAGGAGGATTTAAGGCACGTTGAGGAGCTTTCTCCAGCTGGGAAATCCTTTTACACAAGCTCGTTTTTCTCTAGTACGCTAAAAAAGCAAAGCTAGAAAAAACTCATGAGTGTTTTAATTATTTCAGATATTTAAATATACTTTTATTTTTTACATCAAAAAGCCAAAATTAATTGCATTATTTCAGTTTTTCAGTTAAAGCTTCCCTCACAGCGTAGCTCCATCGGATGAAAAGATAAAAATAAATAATTAATATTTTAATAAATATAAGAGAAGGGGTGGCAGGACATAACAGCAGTTCCTTTCACGTTGAGTCGCTTTATCATTTGATCCGGTTCTTTCATACTATTTCATATTTTATATGTTTTTTTCATGTGTTGAATTTTGATAGGAAATACTTTTGGAAGCACTTTTGTGTAATTCATTCATGAAGTGGAACGAAATTTATTGGATATTTCAAACTTTTTTAACAAATAAAAAACTGAAAAATTGGGCGTGCAAAATTATTCAGCCCCTTTACTTTCAGTGCAGCAAACTCTCTCCAGAAGTTCAGTGAGGATCTCTGAATGATCCAATGTTGACCTAAATGACTAATGATGATAAATAGAATCCACCTGTGTGGAATCAAGTCTCCATATAAATGCACCTGCACTGTGATAGTCTCAGAGGTCCGTTTAAAGCACAGAGAGCATCATGAAGAACAAGGAACACACCAGGCAGGTCCGAGATACTGTTGTGGAGAAGTTTAAAGCCGGATTTGGATACAAAAAGATTTCCCAAGCTTAAAACATCCCAAGGAGCACTGTGCAAGCAATAATATTGAAATGGAAGGAGTATCAGACCACTGCAAACCTACCAAGACCTGGCCGTCCCTCTAAACGTTCAGCTCATACAAGGAGAAGACTGATCAGAGAGGCAGCCAAGAGGCCCATGATCACTCTGGATGAACTGCAGAGATCTACAGCTGAGGTGGAAGACTCTGTCCATAGGACAACAATCAGTCGTATACTGCACAAATCTGCCTTTATGGAAGAGTGGCAAGAAGAAAGCCATTTCTTAAAGATATCCATAAAAAGTGTCGTTTAAAGTTTGCCACAAGCCACCCGGGAGACACACCAAACATGTGGAAGAAGGTGCTCTGGTCAGATGAAACCAAAATCGAACTTTTTGGCAACAATGCAAAACGTTATGTTTGGCGTAAAAGCAACACAGCTCATCACCCTGAACACACCATCCCCACTGTCAAACATGGTGGTGGCAGCATCATGGTTTGGGCCTGCTTTTCTTCAGCAGGGACAGGGAAGATGGTTAAAATTGATGGGAAGATGGATGGAGCCAAATACAGGACCATTCTGGAAGGAAACCTGATGGAGTCTGCAAAAGACCTGAGACTGGGACGGAGATTTGTCTTCCAACAAGACAATGATCCAAAACATAAAGCAAAATCTACAATGGAATGGTTCACAAATAAACATATCCAGGTGTTAGAATGGCCAAGTCAAAGTCCAGACCTGAATCCAATCGAGAATCTGTGGAAAGAACTGAAAACTGCTGTTCACAAACGCTCTCCATCCAACCTCACTGAGCTCGAGCTGTTTTGCAAGGAGGAATGGGCAAAAATTTCAGTCTCTCGATGTGCAAAACTGATAGACATACCCCAAGCGACTTACAGCTGTAATCGCAGCAAAAGGTGGCGCTACAAAGTATTAACTTAAGGGGGCTGAATAATTTTGCACGCCCAATTTTTCAGTTTTTTATTTGTTAAAAAAGTTTGAAATATCCAATAAATTTCGTTCCACTTCATGATTGTGTCCCACTTGTTGTTGATTCTTCACAAAAAATTACAGTTTTATATCTTTATGTTTGAAGCCTGAAATGTGAGAGAGAGAGAAAGTAAAGGGTAACATGGCTTGTGAGGCTGAATACTAAAAGAGCAACACTACAGATACCATCAGGGCTGAGGATCCCTGGTTTTAGGAACTATTTCCTCAGTATGCACATAAGGGTGATGTTCCTTATATAAAGAGTATAAAGTATAAAACGCATGGACGGTATTTTCTTTTTTTACTCCAAACAAAAAGCTTGACAGCAAAAATGCAAGGGAAAAATTAAAGTGCATGTAACAAGCTGCACATGTCGGCATGTCTACACCTCAGCTATTAGCTGTGTCACTTTCAGGGCCTTAATGTAGACACTATAAACAAGTTGTGTGTGTTTACAGGGAACATTAAAAAGCTGTAAATGCATCTCGTGTGTATTAATGTACCCTGAGGTCACATGGGCAACCACTGGTTTCTCTAAAGGTTAATTAACCAGCAATGTTTGAAAACCCAGATCATTAAAAAACACTTCCTGTTGTTCTGGCTGTATCTTCAGAAGCCCCAGAGACTTGTTTATCCATCTGGAGGGAAAAAAAAAAATTCATCTGCTGCACTGCAAAATAGACTTTTAACCTGTTTTTGCAGCTGTGACTACACAGTCAGGCCACCATCTTTGTTCTGATTTGGAAACGGAGTCAAGTTAACAAGTTGAAATCTTTATTATTATTCAGTGGCTGAATATTTAATCAACCGGATAGTTATAAGAGTCTTTGGGGATTCTGCAGATACGTTCAGAACAACAGTAAGTGTTTTTAAATGATCTCCTGGGGTTCTCGCACAGCCCCAGTTAATTAACATTTAGAGAAATTAATGGTTACCACTGTGACCTGAATACATGAGGGGCACAAACTGGGGCTATAAACTGACACACAGGAACAGTGCCGTTTCTTTTGGCTTCTATGTGGATTAACAAAAGGCCCAGCCTTTGTGTGGCTCCAGCAGCTTTAGTCCTGGTTTCTTGGCACAATATCAGCGTATATTTAAGAATATCTGACTTTTTTAAAAATGTGTCAGCCAGAACTCCAAAAAGTCAAAAGTAGACTTTTCAAGCAACTTCTAAAGCTAATATTAGCATAATTAGTTATAGCTAAAAAAATGTATATCTGTTAGCAGTGGTTGTCATATCAGATGGCAAAACCTACTGTTGTACAGCCATACATGAGAAGCCTGCTTTGTCTAACCACTGAGGTCAAGAACAGAAGCTTGAGAGGAGTAACAATGGGCTTAGTGAATGGTCAACTGAGGGGGAAAACAAATAAGTCTATTCTAATCTTGCATAAACACAGTACACACAGATACCGACACAAAATAAAGTGCAACACCTCCCATCTCCAAAAGACTCAATACAACTAGATTTCCTAAGGTTCAGCA